TTTCAGGGCCGGTTCGGAGCTGGAGCTTGAAAAGCACCGGGTTTTCCTCTTCACACCGCAGCGGAGCAGCCTCTTAGCTCCGGAATCCGGTTCATTTCGAGCACCAACATTTTTTCCGGCCAGAGCAAAAGAACCACATACGTCACGCTTACGTCGAGGCGGGGGCAGTGGCAGGGGCGGGATCAACTCCTGAACAACAACAAGAAGCCGGCGTTTTATCCAGTTTGTACACAACGATGGAGAAACTTAACAAGCAGCAGTGGTCCACTGAAGAGACCAGCTACCTACTGGGAATCTGGTCTTCCGAAGAGGTACAGAGGAAGCTGGAGCGCAATCGACCATTGTTGTTGTTGTCGGTGTCAGCTGTGAGGGGTTTCCGCGCGGTTTAGCTTTATGAAGCAGGCACGCAAATGGTTACGTCATGACACAAACGATGACGCAATGACGCAGCACCAGTCGGACTCTGGGCAGTGTGAAAAGAGCCGGAGCTAAACCAAAGAACCGGTTCTGAACCTGAAAAGCTCTAGCATGGAGCTTGAACCGGAGCTGCGTTGGTGTGAATGAGGTATGAGAGACTGATAACTACAGCTCAGGTGAGGTAAATGACTCTTGAGTGTTTAGATAGTTAACTTAGTCTAAGTTCTCTGTGGGTCTCAGACGGTTTGGTCACCATTTATGTAAACACATATTTCCATTTGAGGGGGTAGTGATTAGTAAAATATGCGAGAATTAAAAAAAAGAAAAGTTAACTTGGTGAAAAAAGGTAAGATACACTTTTAAAACTTGTTGAGAGCTAAAACTAGTCTTTGCTGCTGCCTCAAAGAGGAAAGGAAGGAGAGGCTGATTCAGGAGCACAGACACACTCACAACTATAAACTATGAATTAACAAAAAAATAAACAAGTTTCAGTGTTTTTTCATATTGGAAATTGTATGTTATTGGTTATGGCCATGATTTTACGATTATTGAAATGTATACAGTTCTGTTTCATATAGGTGTTCCCATAGATCTAGTCTCTTATGTTCCCCTCAAAATGCACCAGATTGATGCATTTCACTCCAAAATAAAATAAAAAATGTTACCCCGGACCCACCTAGAGGATTTGAGGTCCACCCGCACTTAAAATCACATGGATAGGTTCCTAAATACTTTTACCATGTCCATATGTTTATTTGTGGGTAGTAGATTTAAACTATAGGGCTATAAGGGCCCTGCCTGTACCTGTTCGCTCACATCGCGTGAAGGGTCTGCTAACAAGCGACCTACTGAAAGGTTAATGTTAATGTAAATGTTGTTCCACGTCACAAAAGCACGTCACCTTAACCTGTTTCAATGTCATTTCATGCAAAGCACTTCCATTAGAGCGTAGGGAACACATTTGAGTATGAGTCGCCCTTTTGCATCCTGTGCTTTAACCTTCATCTTGGGTTGCACTTCTTTTTTGTTTGTGTTTGTTCCGTTTCACTGAAGTGTTGCTTTGTGTATCTTACCAATCAAATTCTAAAACAATTGATTGAATTTGCATTTGTAGATGCAGAAGCCTGTGTTTTAGGATATTAAAGTAATCTTGAAACATAATAAAATACTCAAAACGTTAACATTTGTGACTGTGGCCTATTGCTTTTATAATTGTTATGCAATTCAATGCACCTGACATTTCCAGGCTCTTACAAAAATATATAATGTATAGATGGGCCGTCTGTGGATACATTTGAATTGTTACTAAAACATACTCAATGTTGTGCAAGCATTAGTGTGTACAAATTGAGTTTCAACAAACGACATAAAATACAAAAAAAAACAAAAGGCATTTATTTTTAAATCTATTCATTTTTATTCACAATCAGTATTAGAATGTAATGGGTAAACAGATACACATTCCTGACCTCAGAGTGCATCCTAAATAATCAAGTGTGTTGACGGTACATGGCAAAAAGCAAGTTAAATACAAACTTTTCATGGCATTTCATTTAGTACATTTAAAAGAAGAAGTAAAAATATTGTTTCTGTTGTATTAATAATTGTACTCTACTTTCTCAATCTATTCCTAATAGAACATATATTTGTTTCAAAGTAGCACACACACTCTGTAATCGGACTCACTCCACAAGGTAAACATCTGTCTCTGTCAAGAGAAAGCTTTCAGAACGAGACGCAAATCTTAAAATGTAAAGGTAAATGATATCGAATATGACCCAAGGTTGCTCAGGCTTTATACCAAAGGTCCCATGACATGACCATTTCTACTGATCATAATTCCATTGTTGAGGTCTACCAGAATATATTTACATTGTTCAATGTTCCAAAATCACACATATTAGCTATGCATATATCACAATAAAAGCCTTGAAACCTTGAAACTTGAAACATCTTAATCCCAACAGTCATATCAAATCAATGGTGGCACCTCTGGTTAACAGTTTCTGTAATGAGAAGAACATTAAAAAAAACATGATTAAGAGCAGATTATATTTCAAAACAACACGCGAAGGATCATTCTGATTCCCTTTGCACATATGTACTTATGTCACATGTTAAAAAGCACATCACATTATTTTGAGATACTGGCCCCAATGGTAAAGTGTTGATGTATTGCAGGTTAAACATCTGCTTTTTATTTGTATATGTCGTTTTAATTCTAAAAGGTTTGATATAACACAAATCCAAAATAACATCTATATGTTCTGTAAACACTGGAGGCTAGGTTTGTTTATATGTCAGTCATTGGGCTACAACAATCATGTATTTTAAGATTAGGAAGCTAAACTCACCCCTAAGGGACCTTATGACGTTGAAAGGCGAGTCCACTGCTGTCCCTTCGCCAGCTGAGATTGAAATCAGTAATGCCCTGTTGTGCCAGGCTCACTTTCAACTGAAAGTAAAAGAAAGTGTTAGAAATAACAGAATCCTTTGTTCTTACTTTTGTTATTTGTAAAACCTTTTACCTTTTCCAGAAGAGCATCGCTGATTGTGGAGTCAGTGAGGTCGAGATCGGAGCGCACCGTCATTCTTATAACAGTCTTCTTTACTTTAAGATCTGCATTACAACACAGAATAATGTTAGTGATCAATGTCAGGCAAAGTGCAATGATTTAGTGGAATACAGTAATGGAGTGTGGGTTATTTAACAAAAAATGTATGTCCCGTCACATATTAAAAATCTTAATTTTAAACATCCCTTTTTTACAGTTTTAGTTTGAAATAATCATAACAACCTCTAGAAGCATACCATCCAGCAGCCAAAATCAAAAAATGGAAAAAAAAGTTGTCCTAGGTGCAGTATAGGAGGAAGGCATTGCTATCTGCAGACAAATACCTTTGAACGGTTCTGCTTGTTCTTTTGAATTAAGATAATAATACATAAACAATCGTAAAGTATCAGGTCTGGTTTGGCCACTCAGAAATTTGAATGAAGTTGTAAAGAAACATTTTCTTCTTAATAAAATGACGTGGTGAATTTGCTACCAAACCACTACAAGTAATGCTTATGTTGTTGATAATATAAGACATGAGGATTATAATGCAGTTATATTTCCATTATTCCAATATTAATAACACTAAGTCTAATATTCCCTCTCCTTTTTGCTCTGTTTTGGTCTCCACCAGCTACTGAAACTCATACATAGCTCTTTAGCTGTGAAACTCTTCTAAATGTGAAGGGAAATCCAAATGTATGGGTTCTTAGCCAACTTCTCTCAACTTACTAACCTGAATAACTTAGGAAGCATGTCTCAGAGTCATGTATTTAATTAGCGTTTCAGTAACTCACCGCCATGACAGACAAATGTGGACTTCTTGTTGCAATCGGCTCCAACCCAGCGTCCCTGCTCTGCAACAGAAGCACAGTCTCCCCCTGAATCTGAGCCACTCAGCCAGTTCCTGAAGGAGGTTTCTCCTCCATCAGACCACATCCAGGCATCATTGAAGAGACCGATCCACATATTGTTGTTCCATGAGTTAGCTTGATTGGCAACAGCTGTATTATTCAAGGCACTGCTTATATAGGCCATGTCGGTGTGTTTAGTTCTGCACTGCTCTTGACTCTCCACCCAGGTTCTTCTTCCTGGGTAAAACACAAATGTCTCTGTTCCATCTGCCCGGGCTAAAGAGAGATACAGGGATAGGGCACAAAAATACTTACGTTTTTTCATCAGCAAACGAAGCACTGAGCTCCTAAAAGGACATGGACGTAAAAACAACAACAACTTTTTCGTGCAAACAAGAGCTATTTGTTTCGGCACTGGAGTGCACCTATGTGTGAACAATCAATCAGTCAATCAAGTGATCATATTGTACATCTCTACCCACATCACATATAGATTGAGAATGTGTAGTCTGTTCTGTGCGCAAGGCACGAGGCAGTTTTAACCAAATAAATGCTTTTAAAATGTCATTAAAAAGATGTCCAAGTTTGAATTATAACTCAAATAATTCCTGTAATGTAATTTCCACACATGAACACAAGGTTCTGCAATTAACTGATGGTCTCTTGTGTGCGCCATCCCTGCCGGTAACTTTCTTGTGAGCACAATAACGCTTTTTGTGTCCATGTCCCCTTAGGGCCCGTAGGGGTCAAACAAGAAAGGATTAAGAAAACTGCTGTAAGCTATTGCTAACAACATCAACAAAAGTAATAACTTCTGTTGTTACATCTGGATTTGTATTAACTCAGCCAAGGAGTTTGTGTTTGATATTTATCAGCAGGATTACACAAAAAATACCCAACAATTCTCGCTAAAGTATTGATTGAAGTTACAGCATGACCAGAGAAAACACATACAATTTTGGATCTGATCAGAATCACAGGGCTGATATACCCATTATTTTTCAGTTATGGAAACGCCCTCTTGGAGGTCCGAGCTCTCAGGGTGCTCTTCTGGTTTAAGATCTTATTAAAGCTTATTTTATCACATCTTTAACATCTACTACAAATATCACACTGTGTGCAATTTGCTTACTTTCATAACACGCAAAATCTTTTCCATATCCACGCGGTACGTCATTCCACTTTCCTCCAACCGTCATCTCTCCACACGGTTCGCTCACACCGCCGCTGCTGGGTTCACCAACGTTCCACCTGGTATAGTGAGCTGGGCCCCTGCCATCAGACCACATCCACCTGCGAGTGTTTCCTCTTCGAAACCCGATCCAGCTGTATGTCCCATGACTGCCAAGAGTGTTGACCAGATCGTTCTTGTCGCTCGTGGCCAGGTCGGTTAACATTAATCTGCAGAAGCTCTGAGCTTCATACCAGGTCAGAGAGCCATTTATGAGGTGGTACTGATGAGAGGCTTTGGGCAGAGGTTTAGGTGGTTAACAAGTTAAAAAAGAGCAGAAACATTGAAAGTCACAAACAGGGAATCGGGATTTCCTGAATTATAGCAGAATCAACACTTACTGTATGTCACACTCTGAACACAAAACAGTTAGCATTTTACTTGAGGAGAAAAAGTGTTATTTAATTCAATTCTTCTGTTTTCTTTGCCATTTCGCTGCCGTGGAATTCATGGTGAAAAACCTGCACTGGAATTATTGGATAAAGTTAGGGTGGAACTTGGTAATGTGCTAATTTGCTTTAGTTTGTCATATAGGCATAGGTTTCCAGATGAATCACAAGTGTTGATGTTTTGATGTTGAAACTTCCTATCTGGAACTTTCCTTGGATGCTTCACCATAGCTTTCCCCAGCTAATGCTGCGTTGCATTATTCTTTCCCCATTGGTAAATAATCCCAATGCAACGTACTGTCAGAAAGGTTGGTGTACAGGTAGGTTGAAAGATCAACTTTAAATTAAGATTTCTACTGCAGTCACAGTTCAAATGTTGAGTAAAACAGTTTAACCAAGTGTACACCATTGTTTTTGAGACTTCAACATACATGTAGTTTAACCTGTCATTATAGTTGAAAGTTGTAGCATTTAATCATGATGCAAATAAGAACTAGGGAACAACCCATTTAGGCTCCTGTGGGACATCTCACTTCTTCAACTTGTCTGGTTTTATATTACAAACACCACTTGATGATTAACTGTGATCTAAAAGTTGTTAATCTATCACCAGGCGGTGGATAAGGCGGTTACTTTTTTTAACTAAGGCAAAAACTTGTCCCATGACGGTCTAATTTCTGTCTTGGCCAAATCGGTCCATTTTATTAAAACAGTCGATAAAAATAAATTAAAAAGAATCCAAGCAGACTAAAATTCTTAAGAAATGTTTGCACGGTCCTCACATTTCTGTTATGCCAGTTGTTTCATTTCATTTCAAACCTTTATTTATACAGATGAATCCCATTGAGATCATTGATCTCTTTTTCAAGGGAGACCTGCTCAAGTAGTTCCACATGAAACATAAAAACATAAATAGAACAACAAAAGGACATCATACAGCATCATTTACATAATTATCCACATGAACAGGTACCAATAGCTTCCGATTGAGTAGCATCCAACCGAGCTTTGAAAACATTTAGTGGCACCAGATTGTTCAGTTTCCATTTAATTTGCAGACTATTCCAAGACAGAGGAGCTGCACATCTAAAAGCTGTCTTCCCTAAGACAGTCCTAGCAGTTGGCACATTTAATAAAACCACAACATTCGAGCTCAGGCAGTAGCCACTTACAATTTTCCGTGAGATCAGGGAGCAGATATAAGATGGAAGTTTCCCTAACATGGCTTTGTATATAAAAATGTACCAGTGACTGAGCCTCCGTACAGTTAGTGAAAGCAAACCAGCCCTTGCATACAGGGTACAGTGATGTGTTAATGCTTTACAGTTTGTCACAAATCTTAGTGCACTGTGATACGCAGCATCTAACTTGACCAGGCAATTGGCAGGTGCATTCATATACATCAAATCACCATAGTCCAGCACAGGTAAAAAGGTCACAGTGTCTAGCCTTTTCCTGGCCTCAAGCGAGAAACAGGACTTGTTCCTGTGGAAGAAACCTAGCCTAACCCTCAGCTTTTTAAGCAGGTTATTGACATGAAGTTTAAAA